GGAAGGAAGGAAGAGGGCGAAAAAGAGATGGAGGGAGAAAAAGAGACATAATTTTTATTTTAGGAAGACCGACACAGTTGGACACCACTGGATCCCAACTGTTTATCAGTTCCACTACAAAAAATTCATAAGAAGGGTATAAGAGTGAATGTGTAACACAGTTTGTAGGGTTATAGGAGCAGATCCTACAACCAAAAGTTCTCAGGTAAAGGTCCATGAAAAACAAAACAACTGATTTCAAGTTTTTTAATTATTGACTAAGACATATACATGTAAATTTATAACTGGATGAAGTGGGTTATGTAAAAGCTTTATTTATCATGACATTTAGTCTCTTTTGGCCACAAAGCCTGTATTATAAGCACTCATCTATTTCCAGTGTGGTAGTTGTGTACAAATAAATAGCTGAATGTGTATATCCATGTAAATCAATGTAACAGAATTTCTATTTATGAAACTTACAGTTGGTATGAAAAGTAAGCTTAAGAAAGTATGGTGGAAATTTCAGTAATTGTTTCTCATAGATCCCACGTATTTCTTTGAGAAAAACCCTGAAAAATAATTATTCAACCTAAATGTGCACTTAGTTGGCTGTGGCAGTTAGAGAAACTCTATTTCCAAGTTAGAATCGTATAGCAAAAGCAGTAGGTCCTTAGAGCTGGTCTTCCCCCTCTTTCTCAGGAGATCACTGAAAATTGATAAGATTAGTTTGATAAGAAAGTGGAAAGTCACTTTGTGTGGGTTTGCAAATTAGCATTTATGAGTTTATTTCTTTTATTCTTCCTTCTTTCCTTGAAAACATCTCCGTTGATTATCCTGACACCTGCTGGTGAGGGCACAGTTGATTCCAGTCTACTTCTCCCTTCAACTCATTCAAATCAAAGAATCCACAGAGGCATTTTCAGTAACAATTAAGTGGTAATCCATTCAGTTTAAGTATTCATAGTTCTTAATTTTTACCAGTATTATGTAGGAAACCATATACATATGCTTAATCAGTACACCAGTTCACAGGGGCAGCCTAAACTCTTTGTCTAGGAATGTTTGTTTGCTTTGATTAAACAAATGGTAGTATAATTATGACATGGACCAGGATAAAAAACAAGAATGAAAAAAATATTGTAGGCATCTTTCTTAAAATACAAATAAGAACTGAATAATAGGAATAGCTTAGCTTTGGTTTTCTACTTTTTTCTCACAATAATGTCAGTTTCTAAACTACTTAGTAAATAAAAAGAGTAAATGGATTAGCTATGATAGAAGCCATGCCACTAATTATACAGCTGAAAAGTTCCTATTTTTTTACTCAGTACTACTCGTTATGATTTACTTTTGGCTCGAACTGAGTTCTGAAGCCTGGACTGTTTCTTTGGCAGAGATACAATGAAGCTACTACCTCATAAATCATACTCAAAGCACCTGCAAGTGTGTTCAGTAAACAATAAATATCAGAATTACTTAGGCTTTGTGAAATGCTTAAACAAGGCAGGTTTTTAAAATTGTACACGAAGATAACATAAACAGCCATCCCATTATTCAAAACTCTTGAAATAATGAAAAATTTTAAGAATAAATTACTTGATTAAAACTTTACCTTAATTAAAATCAATGAAGTCAAGAGTCTAGACTAATAATTTCAACTCTTAAAAACTGTAATGGTATTTACTAACCATGCTATTTTATATTAGTGATGTATATTATATTCTTTTACTTCATTCTTTTACTCTTTTTAAGAGTATAATTTTCTGAGAAGTAAAAACCATATGTATCTAGAGAGAAAAGCAAATGTTATTGCAATGTTTATTAAAAATATTCTATATCCAAAAAATATGTTTTATATCAACAATGATCTTAGGATATTTGAGAGAGCCTCATGAGAGTTTTAAACAATTTAGAGAATTGTTCAGAAGTACAATGTATCTGACTAGTTTTAGGGATCTTTGCAACTTTACAGAAGGAAGAACAGACTTTAATTTTTTTTTAATTTTTTAATTATCATAAATGTTTTCTACAAGCCATATGAATTTAAAACACATTGCAATTCCAAGGAAACATTTAAGAATAATCAGAAAAACTTATTCAGAACTAAAGGAAAATATTATGTTATATCATGACAGTATATGGCATGGCCAAGAACTTGCATTAATGTCACAGCAAAATATTTTTTATTTAATTATTATTTTTAATTCAGTATTTTAATTATTTTAATCTATCATCTTGAACCTGAAATTAGTACTTATTTTGAAAGTATAAAATTAATGGTCATATACAGTATTGAAGACAGTAATGTGTAATAATAATATAAATTACAGAAATCAGTTAACTGGGTCTTTTGGCATAAACACTATTATACTAATCACGGAAGCATAATGTCGTTACTTGGAGTGAGATTGTTCAGATATTAATTTATTCTCATGTGAACTAAGTAAAAATCGCCACTGATTAAAAAAGAAAATGCAAATGGCAATGATTCATAGCATTTAGGACATGTCTAGACATTTTTAGACAGTGCCATTTGCTTAAAGACTTCAGGCACAAACTGCAGGCTCAGGGACAGATTGCATAAGATGTCACGTGCTTGCTGCAACTGTATGCATGTTATTGAATTTTTTAGAGCAACCCATAACGATGAATAATTTAAGAGTTAATAAAATATTCAATCTGACTGATCCATTGGTTTAATTTTAAAATAAAGATGACTAACAAAAGAAGTCACCTATCCTTATCAAACCCCAGACATCAATGCAAGTAAATTGCAACCCACGCCTAAGGAAAACACTAATTTCTAAAAGATACACGTCAGATAAATAATGGGGCTGTGGGCAATGGGTGCGAGGAAAATTTTTAGTGTTGACACTGGCTTCAATAAGTTTTCTCAAAGTTTAATTGTTCGGAGGTGTCACGCAATCTGCACGCACTCTGCCTTCCGCAGAGGTGAGGGTGAAAAAATTAGGTGCAAGTTTAAACAAAAAGAGCAAATGCAAAATTGGTTCATTTCTTTCCTAAACCCTCTCCCTCTCCCCACAGGCTGGCTGAAAAAAAAGGAGAAATCTACTGAAAAATATGGAGTACACAGCTGCCCAGGCATTGTCTAGAAGGACCAGGATGGAAAGCCCAGGAAACATCGCCACAGTTGGCTCATCTGGCTGCGTACCGGGCTTCTTGGGTCTGGGTATCTTTAGGAGACAGAGCTCCTGGCTGCAGCGAACGGGAGCCGCAGCCCAACCCAGCACCGCGCGCTCCACCTCACTAGCCACCAGCACTTTTTCTCCTCCCCCGCCGCCCTCCACCTCCGAGCACGGACGTACAGCGGCGGGGCTGGCGCGGTGTGGGTGCGTGTGAGGGGGTGAGTGTGCATTCATCTCGGGGCTGAAACCCCAGGCAGGGGAGGGGAAGCGGAGCCGGGAGTGCCTGCAGTCCTTTCCCTTCCTGCTACGGGGTCAAAGTGCACAAGGAACCGGACCGCATCTAAGAGAAAGGAGATACATCTGCGGGGATGGAGGGGAGCACTCTCTTTTTCCTATCTCTGGGGACTCGGCCAAGCCGCTACGAGAGCCATTACCATTTCTTAACCTTCAGTGGAGCGGCTGCGTCTGCCTGATAACTGGAAGGGCACTTTGTAAACGCAGGCGAGGCACACACCTACACACACGCCTTCACGCTGGGGGAAAAAGCCTCATTCGGGGGGGGGGAGGCCGAGGCAAAGGCGCAGGCCTCTGTCTCCAACGCCGGGTCTGCGGGGGCATCCGACCAGCGACACCCAGCTTCTTGGACAAACAGTCGCCCCAGAGTCCACAATTTTCCTCTGAGAAACGGATAGGTGCCTGGATCGGTGATGTAGAGAATATTCATGCGGTGTCTAATCTCAAATGGATGTGAGTCAACACACTTTTTAATCCGACTACCTTTTTTAGAGACACAGTGTTTAAAACCCAATAGCGCACTCAGCTTCCCACTTGAAACTGCCTGTAGCGGATTCTGCTCCCCGCAAGTCCCTCAGAAGGGGCCTCCTGCACTGGGGAGCGCACAGGGGCCAGCGGCCCCCAAACCCACGCACGCCCCGCTCTTCGGGGCGCCCCACAGCCTCGACCGCTCCCCGGCCGGGTTCCGGCGCCAACTTAAGGCGGGCAGGAGACCCGGTCCCGATAGGGGCTGGTCCTGACAAGCCACACCTCGCAGACGACTGGGCAGGGGACTGATCCAAGTCCTGTCTTTTTTTAGGCTTTTAATTTTCTTTCATTCTTTCTTTCATTTATTTTTTTCCTTCCGATACTAGTCCTGGAAGGTACAACCAGACCAGTTTCTACAACTTTTCCGCTCCTGGACGGGGGCGCGAGCTCGGCTCGCACCGCACTGTCGTCTGTTCCCCTGAGTTACGCTGCTATGGAGAGGGGGTGCAGAGCCCAGCTCCGGGCTCCTGGGGCTGGACGAGAGGGGGCGTTCCCGGGGTTTGCTGCAACCCAAGCTGTGCGTCCGAGGTAGGTGGCTAAAAAAGTGGACATGACCTGCCAGATCCACCTCACCCGCGACCAAAACTCCCAGAGCCCGGCCCGGCTTGGCGACAGGCTGAGACCGGCCCTGCGCCAGAGCACACCGCACCCCGGGGGCGGACGGCCTGCGGCTCTCCAGCCTCTGCCCGCGTCACCCAGAGGACACCCAGGAGCACTCGTGTCCCCGGCTCCGGCCCCCGGAATCCCGCCGGGCGGCGTCCGCAGCAGCGGCGTCCGCACTGCCCTGGAAGGGCTCGCCGGCCCCCGCCTCCTGCCCAGTCCTCTGCCCGGATCTCCCGGTCCCCGCACCGCCTCCCGGCGCAGCCCTGCGCACTCTGCTCACACTTTGCGAGCACTTTCCGGGGCCTGCCGAGACTCGCCGCCTCTTCCGCGCCGCCCGCTGCGCTCGTCCCCGTCGCCGCCCCAGGGACCGCCTCCGGCCCCTCGGCGGCGCTCCCCGGGGCGCTACCAGCCCGTCCCGCACCCGGCCGCCCGGCCCCGCCGCCTCACCTTTGCCGAACGGGGGAACGCCCAGGCTTAGCCCCACCAAGAGCCAGGTGGCCACCAAGCGCTTCATGATCCCGTCTCCGGACGTGACCTCGGCCGGTCAGGGGTAGTCGCCGAGGGCAGCGCCGCCGAGGGGGCAGCGCAGAGCAGCAGCAGACCCCGCCCCTGCTGAAGAATTCCAGAAGATGTCTTCTTCCCGCAGCGCTTTCTCAAACAGTTCTCCAAGCGGGCTGGCAAGAGTGGCGGCTG